AAATGAATGCCTGCAAACCTCAATGAGCTGAAGCAACATTGTAATGAAGAGTGGTAAAAATTCTACCTGTCGTGATTGTTAATATATATTTTTAACATTATACTTCAACAGTAAGCTAGAATTTTGAACCATATAAAGCAAACAGGATAATTTGTAGGATTTCCACTGTTTCATTGAGTCTAACTTGACAAAGCTCTTAGTCCCTCCTCTCCTCCTCCACTGAGGGAAATCCATCAGGAAATACCATCTGTAGGCAGTAACGTCACATCCGTGAAACTTTTTTCTAAAGTATGTACGTCAGGTTTGTAAGTAAGACGTATTCTATTTGCATTTTAGCTGTCGTAATTTTCCGTGGCTTGACCTGTTTGCTCAGGTATTGTAACAGTCAGAGCAAGTCAAAGACACAGTGACACACCTCATGCAAGTTGCTTACTCCGTACTGTAGATGTCCCCAGAAACCATTCATATAATTTTAAATCTGCCTCAATCATAAACCTGGGAAATACAGACTGAATGCACAGGTAGATAGAGGAAATTCTATTATGAAGGCAAATACAAGGAAGAATAGGAAAGAAGTGAGCCCTTTATGATAAACAACTTGTTTATGGATAAAGATGAGAGTGACTTTTCACTTTCTGCAATAATGAAAAGAGGAAGAAATTGAGAGTTTCTGTGAAAAAGCTAGAGCAATTAATCAGATAAGTACTGAATAATGAGTCTGTAGTGAATGGCTATACATTAGTTAAATTCTATCAAACACTAGGCTCTAAAAGAAAACAGATCAACAACACTGACCCTAACAGACAGTGGTGTGCATATCCACAGTGTAGCATTTAAAAAAATAAATTGACTGAAGAAAAGAAGCCTTCTCGTGCCCGTATTACCTCAGAAGGGCTTTCTACTGTCGCGCTTCACTACGTTGTCTGCGACTTTGTGTCCTCAGTCCTGACACAGTCTGTGGTCAGCAGTGACTTCAGAAAGGCTAGAAATCCTGGACTGAGCCTTTTATATGTATACTACTCCTCTTTGAGTAAGGTCATGTATGAGTGTGCGGTTGAAGAATTAAAGAAGGAGTAAAGGATGTCATTCAGTGACATTTTAAACGTTCACTGCATTGCTGCGTTTGTAGTTTCCAGTCCATTTGTTCCAGTTTGTCATGGTATTGTTAGGGTTGTTGAATGAATACGTTTAGTTTAGGAACATTTCCACCAACCTTAGTAATGATTGACAGGTTGATTATCTTGTAAATAAATTGACCTGTTTATGACTCGGGATACTGTAGCTTATACCTGGGAGTACTTGACTCCCAGGTATAACTCTCAAACGCACACCTTAAGGCAGATAATGTGTAAGCTGGAGAAGAAAAGGCGTTTCACATATTTAGAAGATCATCATTTATCCTGGAGAAATAGTTTGGTACTTAAAAAGCCTTCCTTAATGCTAGTACATCTTACTGTTCATCACTGATTGAAGAAAGTAAGAACAAGGTTTCTCTTCAGCGCTGTAGCCAGGCTGACAAAAAGTCAGAGTACTGTTGAGCCCATCATTCCTTTAACGTTAACTGGTAATGACTTCATGAACTTCTTCACAAATAAAAATTTAACTAGTAGAAATAATTAGTTATAATCATCTCACAGATGTAAAATTATCTACAGCTACTTTCAGCACCAGTGATCTTTCTGAGTTAACTCCAGTAATTTCTCCAAACCATCAACGTGTCTTTTAGACCCCATTTCTACAAGACTGCTGAAAGAAGTTCTACCATTAATTAATGCTTCAGTCTTAAATATGATCAACCTATCTCTAATAATCGACTATGTACCACAGGGCTTCAAGCTGGCTGTAGTTAAACGTCTTAGCTGTCTTAGCTAATTATTGGCCAATCTCCAAACTTCCTTTCAGCTCAAAAATCCTTGAAAGAGTAGTTGTCAAACATCTGCAGAAGAATGGCTTATTTGAAGAGTTTCAGTCAGGTTTCAGAGCTCATCGCAGCACAGAAACAGCTTTAGTGAAGGTTACAAATGCTCTTCTTATGGCCTCTGACAGTGGACTCATCTCTGTGCTTGTCCTGCTAGACCTCAGTGCAGCGTTCGATGCTGTCGACCATAATATTCTATTAGCACGATTAAAGCAATCCTGTAGGTATTACAGGTACTGTGCTGCAGTGGTTTGTATCATATCAATCTAACAGACTCCAATTTGTTCATGTAAATGAAGAGTTCTCTTCACACACTAAGGTTAATTATAGAGTTTCACAGGCTTCAGTGCTAGGACCAATTCTGTTTACATTATAGATGCTTCCCTTAAGCAGTATCGTTAGAAGGCATAACATACATTTTCACTGCTATGCAGAAGACACCCAACTTTCTACCAAATCTATCCATGAAGTCAGATATAGCACGCCAATTAGTTAAACTGCAGGAATGTCTTAAAGACGTGAAGACCTGGATGTACCTCCAACTTTCTGCTTCTAAATTCAGATCAAATTGAGATTGTTGTACTTGGCCCTAAAATTCCTAGAAATATGGTATCTAACCAGATTCTTACTCTGATACTTACCCAGGAACAACATCTGAGGTCTTTGTCCAGAAGCGCATGTGAGTGTGTCAAGAGCATTTACTTCAGGTTCTAAAGTCTCCCCCACCCCCCCACCCCCCCAAATAAAACCACAGAACCCCCCAAAATCCTAAAAAGATTTTTTAAAAAGCGGCATCGCTATGCTAAGAATCTGAACTGTGCTATGAATCTTGAGATGAGTGCATTGAATCTGTGCAAATGTTTAAATAGTTCCCACGGCAGTGTGTTTGCCTCACAGTTAGATCTAAAGAAATGTTCTAAGGTTGACATGGAAATCAAAATCAAAGCCATATTTCTTGTTTGCACGTATGCAAGTGCTACATCCATATATGGTTAACAGACATCAAATGCAGTAAGTATATACATGCTTCATATAAATATAGTCTACAACTTTCTTCTTATCTTTAGCCCACATAATTAAACATGTGGATGAAATAAAACATGTGAATTTTGATTGTATATACTGTATAGCCTATATAATAAGTATGTAGCCCAATAAGTACAAAATCCAGAAAGCTACTCAAAATGGGATGGTTCATTTACAAACACAATTCTAACTTAAGTTTCAAACTTTTTTTTATTAGAAATGTTAAAATTGTTTCATGCTTAAATTTAAACAAAATGACAGAAATCTGCACTTCCATGAACACACTTTTGACCAAAAATTTAAACCTAATTTTTCATATTTTACTTGGTTAACCCTCTAAGGCCCACGATTTAATTGGCCATTTTTGATTACTTTTAATTTGACCTTTATATTTACCTAGATTAGCCTTGCTTGGTATCGTCCTTTTCAGCACAATTTCACATGTTGAAATTTATAGTTATTTTTTTATTGACATACTGTATTAACACAGTTTATCTGAAATCACACAAAAAAAACAAACATAAAATCCTAGTAGGAAAATCTTATATAATTTTTAATGCAATAACCACAAAAAATTTTTAGTGAATTATTTTCATAACTTGAAATGCAAATATAAACTTTAAAATGTTTTGTGCAAATTTTTTAAACAATAAAGTTGTACCTAAAAATGCAGCCAATGCCTCAGGTGTTTTTGTACAACCATTCAAAAATACTACTAAAATTGAAATTACAAAGCAATCAGGTGTCTGAATAAGAAGCCACACACAACACACAAAACAACAACTACACTACACTGAGTACACAAGACAAGACAACGCACTAACTACACACTCCAAACACGCTAAACGTCACAAATCTCTCACATCTCATAACTCACTTTTTCTCGCTGCAATCACTCCCCAAACTTTCCCCTCTTACTTAACAACCAAATAAAAAAACAAAAACAAAAAAATACCAATAACCCCAGAGGGTTAATAACATCACCTTCACTCCAATTCCAGAGTGTAACAATCAACCACCTGTGATGAAATGTCCATGGTGTTCATTCAAAATGTGCTCTGGCACAATCATAGGTTGATCGATACTGACAACAAGAATTAAAGCTGGGCACCACTATGGGATGAACAATTTTTTAAGGGTGAAGTGTGTGTGGGGTGGGGGTTGGCGGTAACACTATGCAATAAATTCAGTTTTAGAATTCATATTCAGTTTATATCCAGCTGTGCTCAAAGTGTTAATGCTAGCTTATTTTTTTTTATAAACAAAACCATCGCATGCAAAACTAGGGCTGCACTATAGGGATGGCAAGAGATTATTTTTATTTTTAAAAAATAAAAATAATAAAAAGTATTTTATTTGACCCCATGCCCCCTTGTAGATCCACCCATGTGTGAAAGTTGATGCCACATACTGTGGAACCATCCTTACGCCTACTCGAAAGCTTACAAAGATCCTGCGTGATGAATGGAAGATGTGAACATCCATGTGCATCATTGACCTATGCAGGATTTTATTATGCTAGTAATAGTATGTCTCACATTGACTGGGAAAATAGTGCCCCCTGGTGGTGAAAGATTTCGTTGTATTGTGCAATACGAATCTATGGATTATAGATTCACAAACTATTTTAAATCACTCTATTTAAACCCTGTTGTTATTATTGCTATATAGAGAAAATCCACATCATTTGAAAAGTTTTGGCATCATATTAAGATATTTTCAAAAATCCTTAAATAATGGTTTTCAATGGCAGATTCACTACAAACCACAGATTATATGAGGGTGTTCAACATATCTTTTATGTTGAACATGAAGGATTTGTTTCAGTGCAGTTTTTCTTTGTCAAGTGAAGGCTGAACCTAAAAACAGCAGGGGTTGTTTGAAGAGCACAGAGGTTTGAAACTGTATATGTTCTGTGTAGAAACACAGAAGCTAAACACAGCTACGGAAAAGAAAACATTTCCTTGTCAATATAAGAGTAGATGTCTGAGGTTTGTTTTATGTCTTTGTCCCAGGTTCAAGTGAGACAGAACAGGGTGTTGGGATTGGGATCCAGTTACATGTGGCTACTGGGAGGTGGAGGAGGAGGATGTGTTGGTGGCAGCGGCAATTGATCATTGTTCATCTGCTTTGTGTCAGTGGAGCGAGTGCTGACACGAAGAAGCCCCAGGTGGCGCATTTCCATCGGTGATGTGGGCGGGCTTGCCTGGGCTCGCAGTGACGGAGCCACCATGCTGCTGTCGAGCTCACCCTCTGCCAGCCAAGGAGGGATCTGCAATGAATCCGTGGGGTACAAATCTGACACAAAGGCTGAGTTCTCAATCCCACCTTGATGAAAGAAAAAAACTGAATTAGTACCTCAGGGTTCAGTATTGGAGACATTGCTGTTCTCTGCATTATTATTATTTTTTTTATACAAGTGACACTATTATTGGCTGCTCCTTTTTATTAATGCATCCAAGCAGTACTTCATATTTTATTAGATTACCTCTGTTCTCTAGATGCTAAATCTATATAACTCTTTATGTCTGCAGATTTTCATTGTGATTGGTCCTTCTTGTCTGTGTACATAAATCAAACTCAACATGACTCAGTGCTGTCAAAATGTTTTATAAGTGTTCGCTTGCAGAGTGAGAACAGAATTAGGCAATTCTATAATAATCCTATGATAATGCGTTGTTTTCACACATGTACTGCACCTTTTTTAAATGTATTGCATATGTACTGTCTATTTAGTTCCCTCTGTTATATGTTGTAATCTTTGTGTTTATAGTAAAAGCATTTTCTGCTCTTAATTATTTCTGAAAAATATGTTTTCTCTCATTTTCATACGGGATGTAGAAAGTGGATTATTTTACCTCCTGGTTTGGAATCTCTCATGGGGAAAGAAGGGTATGGCAAGTCATAGCCAGAGGTGCTCTCTCCCTCTGAGAACCCAAAATCTAAAAATGAAAATGAGAAAATTTGTTGACTAAGATTTTAAATCTATAAAACAACAACAACAACAACAACAAAAGCAGACATACAAACCTTCATCACCCGAATAGGAGAGTTTAGTCTGGCTTATTGACTTTCCTTTTGGCATCTGTAAGAGGAGGAAGAGTCATTTGATCACACGCTATGTTTAAAAAAAATATGGAAGGTGAAGTAAAAAAAGAGACAAGACCAACGGCCTTCAACTATGCTACCAATGTTGCTGTTACATATTTTGTCTAGCAGAGGGCACTCTGCAACTTCCCTGATGGCAACAAGCATGTTTGCAACACTACAAACAACAACCAGCTGAATTGAGGAAATAAGTAGACATCACAAATGTATCATGTCTACTAGTGTTTCATGTATCTGAAAGGAAAAAGGTATAAAGGAATATTTAACTTTTTAAAAATATCTGTGTAGGTATCGGTTTTAAAGTTCTATATGAGCTCTGGTAATAAACCAATATGATACATTTATCACACAATACTTTAAATATTTATATTAATATTTGAATATTGTTCTCTGCAGCAGTATGAAGCAGAGATTGGCACTGTTACGGTAGGGCAGTGATGAGCACAGTTGCCTCCCAGCAAGAAGGTCCTCTCAAGACATTCTGTTGGTAGGGTTAGGTTAACTCTATTTTGCCCATAGGTGTGAATACGAGTGGGAATAGTTTTGTGTCTCTGCGTGTTAGCTCTGCGACAGACTGACGACCTGTCCAGGAAAAGTTTGGATGGAATCATTCAGCCCTGCATAACATGATAAAAAACAAAAGCACTTAAATATCAATTTATGTCTGCTAAAATGGTATAATCAGCACTGCCTTGATTTTATTCACAATAAATCAGAAATAATTTGCCATTTTAAGAACAATATTAGCTCATGTTGAATTGGATGACAGCAACACAAAAAGACTTGGAGCAGGACAACTAAAAGCTGGAAAACTAAGTAAAAACAATAAGAAAAGCTTGGAGGAACATTTTGCAGCTTTTTAGGTTAAGTGGTCTCAGTGTCTCAGAAGCAAAGATGGGCACAAATCTGCAAAAATCTGGGTCTACAAATTGTGCGATAACTTCACACTAATTCCTAGTTCCTTAATGTAAAATTGTGAAGACACTGAATATCTCAGCATCTATAGTACATAATATCAACAAGAAATGTAAAGGATCTGCAAAAGGGGCAATGTTAAAAATCAATATTGGATTTAGGTGATTTTCTGGCTCTCAGGCAGCGCGGCATTAAAAACACAATTCTGCCATGGAAATCACTGCATGGGCTCATTAACAAGTTAATCAAGTTAATCAACAAATGCAGGTCAGAGCTCTGTCCTCCAAAGAAGAAGCCATTTGTGAACATGATCCGGACACTTCTATCTTCTTTGGGCCAAAGTGTCATGGTCCTGAGTTTTGGACTGACCAGACAACATATTTTTCAGTGAATGTCGGGAAGTTTATGGGCTGTTCTGTGTGCTTGCACACAGTGGTAAACATGGAGATGTCCCAACTCTTTTGAGATGTATTGCTGCCATCAAATTCAAAATAAATATCTTTCTTAAAAATTGACATCTTCTGAGTTTAATTTCTCAGTTTAAACATATGATATGTTTTATGATTCTATTTTGCTCTATTCTGAATCAAATATAGATTTGTGAGATGTACAAATCATTGGAATTTTGTAGTAATTATATATATAATAATATAATAATAATAATAATAATAATATATTTTAAACAACTTCCTTTTTTTTGGAATTGAAACTGTACCAAACAGACAAAAGAAAAATTAAAAAAAAAGATTGATTTTACTTAAATTTTAATTCAAGAAGCAAAATCCAATATTTTTGTCCACTTTCACACATGGAAGAGAGTTTATGAATATTATTTCAAGGAAGTTTAATAAAGGCTCAATAGGGAATTATTTACTATTTTGTACAACAAAAAACAGAACTGAAAATAAAGAATCAGTAAGGGCCGTATTTGCAAAAGACACTTTTCTTCTTCACTGAACCTCACAAAGACATAATCAGCTCTTTGCTCTTTGTGGTAAACTCATTCCCTCTCTTTCTCTTTACCTTCTGCTGGTGTTCCTTCTTTGTGTGCTTGATGACCGTCTTTGGTGAAACGCCCGTCTTTGCAGGCTGGAATGACTCCATTCGGTTCTTCATGGTTCTCTTGAAGATCTCCTGGACTTCTTTCTCATCTTTGTTGATTATGAATTTGCTGCGACTGAACCTGTGGCGATGCTATGAACAAGAAAAGAAAACTCATTGATAAAACCAAACCATGAAGACCATGAAGTCAAGCTCAGCCACAGTCCAGGCAATTCAGCTGGTCTCAGTGCTGATATACAAATATACAAATTCTACAAATATAAATCTCAGGCAGCTGGATTTGAGGTGCATGAAACTGCTCACAGTTGCATCTGTAACTGCTGTGCCTGACTTGATCATTTGCATCTGTTGATGCTGATTCCTGGAAATATCTTTCTATCGTGGTCCTGACTGATATATATATTTTTTATTAGTTTATTAGTGTCACCTTTAAGGAGAACAGTAGAATAACCTTTCATATCTTTTCACGGGAATTGAGTGACTGGCATGAGCAGGACATAAGAAAAGTGTTATATATGCATTTTTTGTTTTGATTTTACTTTGATTTTGTGTGTGTGTGTGTGCATGTGTATGTGTGTGTACATGTATGTGCGAGCATCTGTGTGTGTGTGTGTGTGTGTGTGCATGCATGTGCGAGCATCTTGTGTGTGTGTGCGTGTGTGTGT